AATATATTTTTAATTGCTTCTATATTTTTTGTAGTACTATCTGTGGTTACTTCATGTTCTGCAAGATTTCGTTTGTGAGGATTATTCTGTAACTAAATTTTAATATTGCTAGCAGTGTTATTAGTTATAGCAATTGGTACTGTTGGTACTGTTTCCATGAGGATTCACTCAGTTTGAAATCTGCCTAGACTACCCTTATTTAGTGCTAAGTTTTGTCTTTTGATATCTATTGTTGGGTTTTCTTTATCAATTTCCATACTATTATTGATCTCTTCTTTAGATATTTCTATAAGTTGCAGAGCTGTTATATTTGTAGAAATAGCTCTAGTTTTGCCTTGGCTATTGCCTTCTTGAAGATGCTTACTAACTATATTATCAGGTTGCAGCTTTGTATTACCAGAGTAATTTAATAAAATTTCTTTCTCTTCTGTTATCATTTGATCTCTTGCTTTCTTGTGTTGAGCATAGTCATAGTGTTGTAAAACGTTGCATATTATGGCAATAAGATATGTTTCACTAGTTCTTAAATATTTGGCTACATTCTTATCTTCTTCTCAGATAAATATATTTTGTCTTTCTTGTACTGTAGATCTATCCTCTTGTGACTTATTAAAAAAATCTTTGAAGTCGATAAGTTCTAGCATTTGGTATATAATATTGGTTTGGTATATTATACATATGTTTTATATAGTTAGAAATCTTTATATATAAATTTTTTTAAAACTATATCTTCTAGTTATTAGCTAGTTTTGAGTTAAAGAAATTTAGCAGCCTGGCCAAATGACTTATCTGTTTTCTTACTTAAGTTTTTCTAAAAACAAAAGAACTATTAATCTTTAAATTAATTTAAATTTATTGTAATAAATCTTTTGCTATGAAATTATATTTAATAAAATATATATATATATATATATATAATAATTTTTTAATTTGTAATACTGTGCTTTTTTTAAATTATTTTGAAACCAAAAAAATAGTACAGGTGACCCCCGATAATATCAACCTATATTAATATCAACCTAAGCCACAAATCAAGTTTTTACAAATTTTTATATATCAAAA